AACTCCCAGGGCTTCACCCGAGAACCAGCAGCACTGTCATCCAAAGGGACCAGAAAGAGGCACCAGGCAAAAAAAAAAAAAAAAAAAAAAAAAAAAAAGGCATTTCCGAAGCACAGCAAGTGGGCGGCAGCGCAGGAGAATCGCTGCCTGGCCTGGCCATGAGAGGTCAGAGAGCTCGCTCGCTGTTTTCTTTTGGCAGCCAAATCAGGCGAGGAGCATATGAGAGAAGTGCATCTCGGAGGCCTCGGCGGCTAGTGGAAATTTCCAGAACATCCTGGACAAGAATGACTTACTGGAAGTAATACATAAATCAAGCAAATGAATAGTTACCAGACAGCAGCATAAACAGCTGCCAGGGGGATGAAATCAGACCTGCAGTGCCAAGAGGCGTCAGCCTCCTTGCCGGCTGCACCTTCGGGGGGAATCAGGGAAAACAACCCAAGGAAAAGCACGTTTCTGGGGAGCAGCCGCCCTCGGCCCCTCCTGGGTGCCTCGGTGGGTTTCCTGAAGCCGGCGGGCATGGCGAGCCCCGCGCCACTGCCGGGGACCCCGGCTCCCCCAGGGCACCGCACAGGCAGCACGGCCCGGGGCTGCCAAGGACGGGGCTGCTCCACGCGAAGGAAAACAAGTGCCGGGTTGTATTTTTAGGCAGAAGACCTGGACGGTTTTTTTCTCCCTCTCCTTTGCCAACAATTCCTCGTTCAGCAGAGAGCCTTCCAAAATTCGCCTCTGTCCACGTCCAGCCCCTGCCCCATCCCGCCGAGGGGCTGTAATGGAGGGTGGGCTTTGCTGGATCTGCGGGGCCATGGCCACGCAGAGCCCATGGAAACCATCCGCGCCGACAAGTGGAAAACAATTTGTGCTAGAGATAGCAATCACTATCATGTTGGTTAAAACACGTAAACTAGAAAACACCACCACAGCAAAAACAAAGGGCACTAGTCACTGCCGGCTGGGCCGCAGCTGTGAATGATTAAAGATAATTAATTCTGCTAAATACACGTACACACATTTCTCCTGCAGCCTCCTTAATTGTTTTGACCTTTTGCCAGGAGAGGAGCGGATGCGCGGGCAGGGGCAGCCCTGCTCCTGGGCCGGGGGATGCGCGGAGCGATGCAGAGCTGCCGGAGGGTCTCGGGAGCCGCTGAAAGGTGCACAGGGACGGCACCGTCTGCACGGGAGAACCTGGATCTCACTGCTGCAAGAACAGAGCAAGGCTCAGATATCAAATTAAGTCCGTGCAAAAAAAAAAAAAAACAACCCTAAAGTCCTAAATGTTTCAAATGTAATCCTCCTGCTCTGCACCTCCAAATCATCTAGTCCTTGGTGAGAGTGTACATAGAAAAAGAAGAAAAAAAAGGGGAAGATATCACAGCTCCACTAACAAAAATGGCAATTTTCTGCCACCAGCTCCGCTCCCAGCAGCACCACCGGTGCAGCCACCCGCCAGCTCAGCAGCACCGCGCGCGCCTCCGCCTCGCTTTGAACTGCTTCAACTTATTCGGCAGAAACAAAAGAAAAAAAAAAAAATTGGTTTAATCAGAGCCGGCACATTCTATTGATAAAAAAAGCATTTGAAACTACAGTGTAGCCATTCTTGGAGATAGGTGCTGGGCCAAAAGCAGATATCTGCAGCAAAACAACTCAGAAGCACGCGAGCAGGAGCGTGTTGCTAGGTGACATGCTGCGGGACAGCCTGCGGCACCCAAGGTGCTCTGCAGCACCGAGGAAGTATTGTTTTCCTCCTTTCCCAGTTAGAAACAGCGGGGAAAAAATTCCCAGAATAAAGAGAGAGAAAAACCTGAAGACAGCGTGAGGAGTGCCGTGCCGTGCGGAGCTCGAGGCTGCTGCCCCGACGGGCCCAGGGAAGGCTGGGCACAAACAGCTGAAAAATGATGCTGGTTCTTCATAGAGCTTTTTAAAAAGTCTATGTGTTATTTTTAAAGCAGGGGCTGAGGAGCACTCTCACCAGCCATCCCCTGCAAACACCAGAAGCTCCAAGGATTAACAGACCCTCTAAGCAATAGTGATTCTGGTAACAAAAACAGGCACAAGAAACAGGAGAAGCTTCGTGCTGGGTTTGCCTTTCAATTCTTTGAAAGACATGGGCTGTTCCGGCCCGAGACAAGAGAAACCAGGCGATTTTTAAGATCATCCAGAGTGTCACTAACTTCAGTTGCTGCATCCTCAGAGGTGCCTGTTGGCAGGGCCAGCAGATGCGGGCATGGGGCTCACTGGGATGGTCTGGACTGCAGGTGGTCAGGCCTTGCTGCAGAGATCCCCGAGGAAAAAGACCAGGAGAAAGAGATCTCTTCTCTTTCAGGAACAGTAAATCACAGGAATCCTGACAGCGTGAACATGTCCCAGGAAGGCAAATTAAAGGTTTCACCTACTCATGGATCAAAGAATAACATCATAATAGCAAGTTTCACTGGGACCAGGGTCTGTAGAGCAGAGGAGGAAATTTGCAGCATTATGTTCCTGACGAAGGAGCACGGACAGGGATTGCTCACTCTCTATCTCACAGTGGATAACTGCCTGGACACCTGAACATGAGACAGGAGTCACCGCAAACAGGCTTAGAGATGCAGTAAGAGGCAGCAATCAACTTTATTTTCTATTTATACACTCCCCTCCCTCCACCCTGCCTGTGCCTGTCCCCGGGATCTGTCCTCCCCTCCGCCTCCAGCTCTCCTTTCCCCTCCCACGCCGGGGGATGAGCCCTGGGAGCCGGCATGCTTTCCCTTGGGACCAGCAGCACCAGCATCCCCTCGACCATCCCGGGCCCGCTGGGTCACGAGCCCCTCTCCCCAAATTGCAGGGGGGCACCCAGGACATCTCTGCTGCGCAGAAGGGAGGGCACTGCTCCACTACTTCAGAGGCATTTATCCTGGCTGATATTTAATTTGTGTGAATAATTGCCATTTTTGAATGTATCAGCTCTGTTAGCATGGTTTTATTACTGTCCTTAACCGCAGCCCTGTGCCACACGAGGAGCCTGGTGTCCCTTTTCAGTAAGCAACAGTGAAGACGCAAACCAAAAAACAGGAGATGTAAGGCACCGTGGGACAAACTCTCTTTCTCTATTTGAGAGATACAAATTGAGTTCTGCTTTTAGTCTAAGAGATCTCCACAGTAATACTGTGAGAAATACTTTTTTAGCTCATCTGATAAAAATGTAGATCTCGATTATTCATACATTGCTTAAAATAAAAAAAAAAAAAAAAAACACCAAACCAAACAGAAACAGATGAGGTAATCCCCTCCCAGAAGTGCAGCTCCAGCTTGGCAGGGCCAGGAAGGGGCCCTTTGGTTTTGCCCCCGTTAGCTGTGGGTGCTCTGCTCTTGGCCCCCCGGCCCAGGACAGGGCAGCACCCAAACCCTGGCCAGCCCCCAGCCCCCCCCCCCCCCCCCGAGCACCCCACTTCCCCACACAGGTCACCCGAGATGGCCAGGCCCCATCCCTCCTGACGCCACCTCCCTCCCTCCAAACATCCTCTGCAGATGTGAAGCTTTATCTCCACCGCAACATCTTTAATCCAGCTTTACGGTACCGCAGCCTCAAACAGTTCATTTGGAAGAGCCAGCATGGTGAGTCTGGGGCCAGGCTGCCCTCCCAGTGCTCCTGGAGCTGCCGCTGGTGGGACTGGGCGGCAGGACTGATGCCGAGGGGACACCCAGGAGCCTGGCCGGGGGCTGGCTGCTCCTCTGCCCCCGCAGCTGGGGATCCCCCGGGAACAGCACCAGGGCTGGGAGAGCTTCTGCAGGGCAGCGAGCTCAGAAGAGCTGGCTCTTGCTCTCCGGCTTCCTGCCTTTCTCTGAGATATTTTTTTTCCCATTAAATAACCACTGTGAGCTGTTTCTCTTCCTAATATAGCACGCACCACTATGCTTATTGTTTGTTTGTGTTTTGTTTTAGTTCCTTCCCTACTAAAGCAGCATGAAACCCATTGTATTACCTGCCCCTCCTCTCCACATCTCACTCAAACACCGCTGGGTTTTCCTTTAAATAAAAAGCACTTAGGCAGTTATGAGATTTCTCATGCATATTTGGCCAATGGGAGTACCTGGAACCGCCTGGCCCTTGGCACGAGCCTGTAAATGCAGAAAGGCTTGAAACCGAGATCTAAACCAGCTTGTGGGTTTTTAACAGCCTTGCTGGGGAGCCCATGGGACAGATACAACCCTGCGTCATAAGAAAGCATCTGGAGTCATTTTTAAGCCCATTTCAAGTATCATTTGTTATTTTTCCTCTTAAACAGATAACTTCAGGTTCTCCCAGGCCTTCTTCTAAACCGTTGTGCTGATTAACTCATTCCCCAGGTTTCCAAGTCCTGCCTAATCCCTCCTGCTCACGCAGCGCCGGCGCGATCAGCGAGGGCAGGTACGACCCTGCAGCCTTGAGGCTGGCACAAACACCTGATGATGCTTTCACTTTTTAAACACTAATCAAAGGTTTCCATGGTAACCAGCAGGAGCAGGAAGACGATGGGAAATTATAGGCCAGCTCTATCACTGAAAGCAAAAAAAATATTCAATTCCTTTGCCCTCAAAGAGTTTCAAGGTGACATCGAAGTATTGATTCATCAGGTTGCGTAAAGGCAGAAAATACGCCCCAGAGTAGTCTCCTATTGTAGCAAAGAAATAGCTTTTAGTCCTTTAATACCAGGCTTGATCTGAAACCGTGAGGAGCTTAACCTCCGCTCTGCCTTCTGGATAGCTGAGCCCCATTACCACGCCATTAAAAGCAACGCTATATTCCCAGTAGCCCAGGGGTTCCTCCTGCCGCCGCGGGATGGCAGGAAAGCCCCCTCCCTCCCTCCTGCACCGCTCCGGCTGTCAGCCCTCGTTTCACTCACACACGGGTTTCCAGTTACTCGCTAACCAGATATGACTCAACACCACACACACACACACACACACAAGGAAACTTTTCCACCACTATTAACTTTCAGAGGAAGTGGAAAAAGGAGAGAAAAACATATCAGTCATAAACGTACTTTGCCAAGTGGTTCATGAGCAAGTGCAGCATCTGCCTGTTTTTCTCTGGGAGCCGATGAACGAGGCTGTGGATCTCTGACACCCTTGACTCCTGATTCTCCAGTTCTGCATTAGAAATTAAAGATGATTTATCTCCTTCTCCGGGGGGTTATGACAGAAAGAGGCATGCAGGCCCAAACGTTGACACCAACACACAACCCAGGGACCTGAGGATCCCGCTCCCCGCTCCCCCCTACGCCCAGGCACTCTGTGGATACCCTCCACAGCACTTTTCCCTTCTACCAACTCCAATCAGTTGTTTCCAAAAGGAAGAACCTCACAGGCTGAAGCAGCGAGCTGAGCGCCGGTGACAGCCCTGTGAAAGGCCGGCTGTGCTCAGGGAAGGGGCTGGCTGTAACCAGAGTGTTTCTCTGATTCCAGCAACAGGAACATCAGCAGGTCCCTGTTCAGCATGCTCCCGAGCACCGTCGGGATGTGCTCAGCACAGCGCCCGCTGAGGTTGCAGCACCTGGTCCTCGCCAGGCTGGCCGGGTCCGCAGGTGGTGGCAGAGGTGTCCCCACAGCCTGAGCAGGAGCCGTTCAGCGCGGCCCCAGACCACATGCGAGCCCTCCCAACCCCCCCCCCCCCAGTCCCACCCGCGTCCGCACCGGCTGCACGGTGCCAGCGGAGAGTTACCTGCTCTCCTGCAAAGCACTCTCCCCCAGGGCAGCCAAAGGAAAGCGGCACAGACATCTGAACCGCAGCTGATCTCATCAAAACACCGTAGGTGGTGTTTGAACAACGGCCTCTCGCACTTTGGCAGACGATGGTCAAAATAAGACAGAGCTGCGGCAGCAGCTCCTGCCACCAGCCAGCTCCCTGCTCCCCCTGCACCATCTGCGTTTCCTTTTCATCTGGTTAAATCCCAAACAACAACATGTCCCTTGTCTCTCTGTTCTCATTCTACTTTCCGGGACTTAAGAACAAGGAGGTCAGTGGGGAAGCAGCAGGGCAGAGGTTACGATCAGTTACTTGCAAATTAGGCTCCTCTTTCAGACCGGTGCCATAAACATCAACAAACTCACTTGCTGCTTTGATGAAGCTCCTTTGAAACTGGTACATCATGAGTGGCCCCGGAAGCATTCTGGAAGATAAAAAGGTAACACGCACAAAACACATCTGAGTAACACAATCCACAGAAAGAAAGCTTTGCCCTTACCATAAATTCAGTTCCATTTTTACGAGTGCAGAATTAAGCGATAGGAACTCTAATTAATTCCCCCCATCGGAAGGAATAAGATCTATTGAAGTACCTCTGAGTTATTCTTCCTCCCTTTTCTGCACCATTCATTTTTAATTATAGCATTCCTTCAGTAACATGGAGTTTCAGTGCATTAGCGAGCCCATGATTTCCAAGTAAATTTAAAAATAAATTAAATAAAGAAGCCTGGTCATAAAACTTTTAACAGTCGCCATTGCCATTAGATGGCCCATTCTCCCCGCCCACTTCCACATCCCTTCAATGGGACATCTTGGTGCTGCCGACGTTCTTCATTGCTTTGCAAACAGTTCAAAGTCTGGAGCAAAGGTTGCCAATCATGCAAAATTACGTAGTGTTTTGTGATTTTCTAGGCTGAGATCCACCGAGCTAATTATACTCATCGTCCTAATTGGATTTAGCCTCTCTCTCTTGTGCGCTCGCTTGCTCGCTCTCTCTCAAATAAAACCCAATGCACAGAACAGCAACAGCAAGAAGGTGCAGTCGCGACAGGTTGGAGCACGCTGTAGATAATGAGATGCTGACGGCTGCCAACAAACTAACCCTTTGGGAAGATAACCCACGATGATAACAGCATCAACCTGCATATAGAAATTATATACTGCGATAAAGCCCAGCACTTGGGTCTGAAAAAGCCCTGCAGCCCCAGCCCTTAGAGCAGCACTGTGCTCACCTCCTGCCACACGCTCATTAGGTGGAAGCCCGTCGTGAAAAACTTAAATCAAGGCAGAGGGCACAAGAAAGAGCTTTTTAAATCATGTTTGCATGATACGCACATCTGTCAGAGAGCTGACCGTGTTCCCCAGATCCTACTCAAACATGCTGGAGGGTCAAGGGAAAAGCCAGAATAAATTCCCTAAAGAGCAGTTTCTTCTTTGTTTCTATGAAAGTGCTGTTGTTAAGGATCTGCAGTGACAGGCAGTAACACCCCAGACCATCGCCAAATCCATCCTGAAGCCGCACGACAGATAAGGGTTTTCTGCCTTACCTCAGGTAAGTTTTCAGTGCACTAGTAATGGTCTTTATCTCCCACTCTGCACAGATCTCTGTTTCTGTTTCTGTGGCTGTTTTGGGATCTATGGAAAAAGACAAAAAAGTGAACCAGAGTAAAGGAAATACCAGCTCAGCCGTATGGGAAGACCATCATGTCCCATTTGATTTGCTATTCCCCAGCCCAGTGACAAGCCGATCCCCAACAGACACTTCTGCAGAGGAGCAGAGCTCCTTACACGCCACGGCCACGCTCACTTGCACGGGACGAGAAAAATAAGAGAAAAACATTACTCATGAGTATTAAGATCAGGAGTTTGACTCAAAGCATGACGTTACACAGGGTGCAGGAGACTCTGGCGTTCAGTGATGGAGGTGACAGAGCAGGGCACAAACACGACATGGACCCAGATACAGAGAGACTCCCCCAGGCACCTGCAGAAAACCCCGGCCCCACCAAGGCTGGAGGGACCTGCCATGGCCTCCACGGGCAGCAGCAACGGTGGCACGGCCTCTGTGGTGGGCGGTGGGTGTCAGGACAGGTGGGGTGGCCCATTATCCACCCCGGGGGACCCCGGCTCAGCAAACCGCTCCAGGTAGGTGCCACCAAGTGCCACCTTGGCCAGCCCGACGCTGGCTGCGAGGTGGCCTCGGACTGGGGAGCTCCCGTCGCCTTGCAGAGACCAAACACCCGCAGGCCCCCTCGACCTGGGAGCCTCTTGCTGATGCCAAGTTACAAGGGAGGGAGAAGCAAAGCTGCTGGGTTTGAGCTGAGCCAGCGGCGAGCAGGAGGAAAAGCACCCAGAGTGTTCTGAAGGGCATGGAGAGCAGAGGCAGCTCCAGCTGGGTCACTGCTGCGGCAGAACCCCACTGCTGCCGTTTGTTTTGTCACCTCTGGCTCACTGATGTCATCTTATTCCGTTCCTCCATCCTCCCCACCGCAGGCTGCTTCTTGCCATCTTTAATTTTTAAATGCCTGATTCACACTCCTCCACCCCCGCAGCAGACGCAGGGCTCCGCAGCAGCCCCCGAGCCGCCGCGAGCGTCAGGTACAACAACAAAAAACCTCCTGGCGTGGGTGGGACAACCCGGCCTGGACCCCACGACAAACGAGCCAGTGCCGGGCCCTCGGCGCGCAATGCCGGAGAGGGATGGTGGGGATCGAGCTGCCGTCCCCACCCACCCACCCACCGCATCCCCCCCGCCACGGCTCGTGCCCACCCTGTCACCAAGCACGTAACGCTGCGGAGAGCGGGCTGCCAGCGCGGCTCTCGTAGCGCTCGGGAGGAAGGTCTCCAAGGACACTTCTTGCCAGGTCCTTGTTCCCACCATCGAGCAGGGGCGAGGTCTGAGCTGCTCCCCTGCTCCTCCAGGATTTCCACTTCTGACCCGCCACGGCTGCCTTAAATGAAAACACGAAGGGATCTTCAAAACGTTTTCTGGCAATAACTAGTTTCTCCTGATGGCTTCGGCTTTGACAAGTGACAGCGAGCGATACCCGAGAGAGGCACGAGCTACATTACATGACACTGATGTTGGCTACGCTCCACGGGTCCCTGGGGACAGCCCTGGGCACCGAGACCCTCTTCCCACCGCTGCCGCGCAGACCTTGCTCCATCCATCCCCCCGCTGAGCTCTCCAGCGTGGCTGAACCCCCAGTTACTGTCGGATGGTGCCGTCGGGATCGCTCCCACCCCGCAGCCTCACAGCTGCTCTCTGAAGGATGTACCCTCATTTGGCACCCCCGGCACTGCCTGCCTTTACCCCCTCATCCCATCTCTGCCCCGAGATTCACAGCACCAGCCCGCAGGTCCCACGGGAACCACGGAGCCACCCTCGGGCTTCCAGCTCTGCGCAGTGCAAGGGTCTGGGGCCAGGGAGCCTCCGAAGTGCCTTTATTTTCATTGTCAAATACCGCAGCATACTCCTCTCCATCTCCTCCGGGGCCTTCCCTTCCCTTCTGCACTTTTTCCCCTCCTATCTTTCCTGTTAAAAATTCCTTTAAAGAAATTTAAAAACCACGCAGTTGTTCTGGACAATGTAAATAGGCTCCGGACTAGCAGCCCGTTCCTTCTCAAAGCGGATCTGACCAGCCGCCTCCAAGCCATGCTCGCAGGAATCCGCAGCTTTCTGCTTCTCCCTGCTTTCTGCAAACCACCAACCCAGGTCAGAAAGCCAGACTTGTTTGCACAAAGTTCCATCGTGAGATCAATAAGGCGCTATTTTTATCGATTTCTGTGAAAACAACTTAATGCTCTGACAAAAAAAAAAAAAAAAAAAAAAAGAGCCCTCAGGAAGCAGAGACCGGCTCCCCGCTTCGGCACCTCCACCCACGCTGGGACCCCGTGGCCACGGGGGCCGGAGCCGAGCTGGCCGCACCGCGGGGCTTCCACGGTGACCGCCACCATCTGCACACCCGCCCCGAGCAGGCACCGACGCAGATGGCATTTCTTTTTGAATCTTTGCCGATAATTACAGCCAGTCATCTCGAAAGCCACCGTCAGATCGGCATTAAGTGGCCTGGCCGTGGATACCTCACGCACAGCGCCGGGTACCGAGACCAAAGGCGGCGAGTGCTCCGGGCCGGGCGGCGGCCGGGGAGGAGGGAGCAGCAGGGCACGAACGTGCCCCATTTGCAGCCGTAAACACGTCGTTTCTCTTCTCCTCGGATGCTGCTTTGTGAAGGCGCTTTGCTAACTCGGTCCTGGCTTTTCTCAGCCTTCGGCCTCGTCAGGCTTTGACTGCACCGAGCCCCGGGGTGAGCAAGACCTGGCAACGCCAACAGGGATCCCGCTCCCACCAAAATCCCTGGGAAACCTCTGCGGGGACCTCGGGAGACACGGCTGTGGGTCATTTCAGGGATATGGAAGTGCCAAGCGTCCCTGGAGAGCCGGAGCAGGCGCAGAGAGGCACTCACCGTGACCAAGGCCAAGCCTGACGCCAGATACAGCTGCCGACGCCATCTGGTCCCACGGATCCAGCTCAGTGGGTATTTGTCTTTTCACAGACACGTATAATGCGCTTTTGAATTTTAAAGCAATAGGTAAGCATAGTGTAATTTTAAAACTAATTAAAAGAATGCACTGAATAAGAGTTAGGCTTTCCCTTAGGGCAAAGGGTTTATTTTAATTAAAAAAAAACATCAAGAGGAGCACTTGAAAAAGTAAACATTTAAGAAATGTATATTCACACAAAGATCACGTGTGTGTCTCACTGCAATCACACAAATGAACACCATCCTTCCTCATCAATGACAAAGCAACTTCCTATTGCACTACCTTTTTAAGGAGACAATTTTAATAGATTAAAGATAAGCTTGGCATAGTAAAAAAAAAAAACAAAAAAAAAAAACCAAAACGCCCCCAACCCTTTTTAAAAAAACCCTTTTTAATAGCAAGGCCTTCACTGAAGTTGAACAAACAACTCAAGACTGGATGTCTTTTCAAAAGCTCATCCAGGAGTTTACAGGCATGATTCATGAAACACTAGGTGAAATTCTGCAGTCGGTCCCATTAAAAGGCGCGGAGCAGATAATCAGTTCCCCTTGACCTTCAAATTTATGAGTCTGCAAAACATTAGCTTTGTGGGTTACAGATGTAGCATCTGTCTCCCCTGCTAGAGATGGCTGCAGCCAGCACCACAGCGAACTTCTGTCTCCGCACAAGGACACATTTCCACATGAACTGGTGTAAATGCGAAACAGGGCCTGTGAAAGCACCCACGGGCCAAATTCAGTTTTAACCCTGAAGGTGCTTATTGCTCTAAATTACTCATCTGACGGCTCTTGGCAGATACGGATAAAGCTGGAGTGAAAGGGGAAGGGGAAAGGGTGTGGAAAACTAACTTCCCCAAGCTTTTTATTCCAACGGAGACTGCAGAAAGCACTTTGCTCACCCCGTGACACTGCCAGCCACTGCAGCATCACCCCCGTTCCGTTCACACCTTCTGCGTGGTCACAAATGCCACACAGGACAGTGCTTCCCAGCTCTCCCCGGGCTGCGAGACCAGAGGGGGTTACCACATCTTCACATGGGGGTTATCTGAGGAAAGAAAAGGGAGCTGCAGCACGCCAGATCTACATCAAGAGGAAATTAAAACGTGCTGGTTGACAGCAGGAAATAGAAAATTTAAATAGAAAATCAGGGATGGGAGGAATCCACTCCCGTTCCCCCCAAAAAATCATTTTTGCTGGTTTGTTTTCTTCCTGGAGGCAAAAAGGAGCAGCAGCAGAGGGGACGGGGCCCCGTTCATGCCTGCAGAGCCCGGGCGATGGGCTGGGTGCCACAGGGTGGGGAAGGGGGATCAGACCCCCCCAAACCCACAGCCGGGACGGCACCGCAGGCGCAGCCCATCCCGCACGGCCACCGCCCGAAACCCTTTCCAGGGAACTTCTCCAGCTGCTCCCGGGGGATGGAGGAAGCTGCCGCCGTAAAACAGCTGCTTTCAGTTCCTCACCAATTTCTCCAGGGCCGGAGAACCGCCCCGGGCACCACCTCATCCCCCAGCCCTAACTCTCGCCTGCGCCTGGGTGGCTCGGGAGATTTCCAAATTAGCCACATTATATCCCGGCAGCGAGGGGCCACAGGCAGCCCCCGCCTCACTGGCCCTTCTGGCTCATACTGGGAAGGAGCAAGAAGAGCAGGTCAGGTGCTGTTAATGCTCCACTCATCTCCGTGCCGAGTTTCAGCAGCAGATCTGCTGGTACCACCACCATCCTGTGCGCACACACTTCCCCAGTAAACCCTTCCATGGGAGCTCCGACTGATAAGTTTGTTTGTTGGGTTTTGTCCTCATTTTGATGCTGCGTGGTGACGGTGAAGGTTAGGGCAAGGCAGCTTGCTCTGTCATAGATGACCTGCCTCCCACGAGCGCTGGGGGATGCACCCCTCCCCGCTGCACCCCGGTTTAGACAAAAACAAGCTGTGCTGGCCAAGCCCAAGCCCTGAGCTGCCCCTGAGCCGGCTGCTGCCCACGGGAAGGCTCTGCTCCACTGTCGGCCGAGCACAGGGCTGACCTCCTGCAGAGTCACCTCCTGCCAAAACGCCTTCCCAGCAGCGTCACTGACACCAGCCACCACTCCGGGAAACCTGATCTTTTTGCCATTTAAACTGTATGTGAATCAGTAACGCTGCCCACATTCATTTCTAAATATAAGGGAAACCTGAAGTTGTAAGAGCAATTTGGCTCCTCCGTCCACAAAGGGTTGGACCCGAACACGAGCGTTCGAGCCGCTCCCGGCAGGACGTCAGAGCCTCGAGGGCAGCTGAGAACAGAAGGGGATTTGACAACGGACATGTTTCTGTTTGACACTGGCTTCCCAGACAGCCTGGACACTGGGATTGTCAAAGATTATTTAATCGCCGGCGATTCAGAGAAAGATTAAGGGAGTCACGGGTTTGCAAAGCGTCCCGGCGGCTCCCGGCACGCACTCGCCTCTGATGGGGCTTCCGGCACCGACGGTTAGGGAAGATGTGCCGGGACAAAGAAAAACCACCAACAATCTATCACCGCGTTATGAGACACGAGGTCAACAGCTGAGTGACTTCAGTCGCTGAGGAGATAATGGATGCTGGATGGTGTCCAAAACTCTGAACCCCTCCCAGCTTGGGCGAGCTCTTGAACCAAGCAAGTTTTGCCGTCTGTCACAGTCCCGCCACCTCGACCCAGAAGTGATGCGGCCCGAAACCGCCCTTGCGAGCGGAAAATGGGATCGGTCGCTCTGCTCACTCGCGAGAGGATGCGCGCCGGCACGGAAAGCAGAAGCAGAGGACCCGGCCCGTCAGACCCGCTGCGCCGTGGGGCACCCAATCCCCAGCCTATTTTTATTGGTGGGCTGCTGCTCTTTAACCGATGCTCTAACGCAATAGTGCCAAATGTGCGCGCCACGAGGCAGCTCTGCCTCATCTGCGGTACTGGGGTGGCTAGCAGGACATACTCACATGCCCCAGAGCCTATGCCAAACTTCTACTAATAAAAGAGACAGAGTCAGCCACCAGCTCCTGTGACCGCAGCGAACTTTCCAAATGCCAGAGCAAAACTGGTGCAGAGAGGTCCCCTTGCGACAGCCTCTGATTTAGAGCCTTACCCTTCTGTTTCCTAATTATCCCTGGATTATCAATTTTGCATAGGTTAACGCTGACAACTAACAGCCACCACGGGCTTTGCTCAGTGAACATCTTAACAGTGGGAAAAGAAGGGGGAATTGGAAGAGGAGGAGGGAAGATGTTGAAAGTAAAACACAACGGATTAAAACTTTTTGCAAGGAGAAATAGACAGAGAAAGGAGCACTGGTGTCTTGGGATGGCAAGGAAAAGGAAGTCACGTTGCAAAGGAATGATAATAAGTGAATCGAAAGAGGAAGGAGACCACAAATGTCACTCACTTCCCCCAAGGAGTAGCAAACACATTCATAAGAGCACTAACAATGATTAAGGATTTGTTTCCCCACTGTTAGCCCTATTTCATAGGTTGTTTTGCCAAGTCTGAGAAGCGTGAGCTGGGGCTGGCGAAGGGCAGCTGCTGCTGCTCCAACCCAAGTGTGTGTTTCCTCAACATGGTTCTTCAAATGCCTGTCTCATGCGTGTCCGGACAGACTCCCGCAGGGTTGCAGCTGGGGGACGGAAACGACGCCTGCTAGTTCAGGGGATAAAATGGTCCATTTGGTCACACACAGCCACAGCCAACCTCAGCACCAGCCTGGGCCACAGGGAGCAGGGGAGGCTCAGCCGAGGGGGCCAAGGCCTGGGAAAAAGCCAAAGAGGGAACAGCGTGCATTTCTCTGTGGATCAAATATAACCCCTGGGCTCTAGTGGACACAGAAGCTGGGCTGGGAGTCAGGCTGCAGATCCTCCAACGCAGACTAACAAGCGTGAGCCGACACAGAGCTCTGCAAGGCTGTGGGGTGGGGGAAAACCACCACCACCACCGACAAGAAGCCACTCCAGGAAAAGTCAGCCGTAGCCATCCACCTGCACTGGGAACAACTAGCAGCTCACTGACAATCGCAAGACTGGCTTGCTCCTGCACGTTTCAGTGCTCAGATCGGGCCCACGGGGGACGCTGGTTCAGAGCACAAAGGCGCTTGCAGCAAACACCATCGCCTCTCTCGTGCCATCGTACCATCCCAGAGGTGGGGAGAGGTTTCTGAGGGCTGCAGGGCAGACGCAGGGCGGCTGCACGCCGGGGCCAGCGCTCAGAGGAGCCCCACATGGTCAATACCAAGCTCTGCCGTGATGTGACCCAACACCTCCTCTCCTTCCGAGCACCCAGAACTGCAGGACCTGATGCCTCAGGCACGAGGGAAACGCATGCTTGAAAGGTCTGGGCAAGACTGTGTTAAAACAGGTCCAAGGGGAAAGTAAGAAGAGCCACAGGCAGCATGCAACACACAAGAGAAAGTAATTAAAAAGTATTCTGGGAACAACGTGGCGGGTATGAGATTAAAACCCAAAGCTTTCAGCTACTTCTTTGAAGATTTTAGTTTGCATTTGGGAAGGCTGCCAAAATTCATAGCGCATGTGAGCAGGACACCAGTGACTGCACCAGACGACCTTCTAAAGCCACGTCCTACACGAGTCCTACCTTAGCAACCTGCCAGCGGTGCCCCGGGACCTCCCGGCCTCTAACAGCATGTGGCCCTAAGAGCACATTCACCACAATTAGGTACCCTGACGAGAGGCTCTGCTCTCAGCTGGCAAGACTTCAAAGCAGCACAATCTACTCGCCTTTAACAAAATACGAGATACTTACCCATTAATATACTCAACAGCTTTTGAACTCTAGAGTTTACTCCAACAATTCGGTAGAGCCCTTGCTCATTGATCCCTAGGAAAAATAAAGAGCTTATTAGGAGAATGTCACAAGAGCAACTAACATTTCTTTCATTTCTTTGGCTTCTCTAACAGCAAAAATAATTAAATCCTCTCACCAACTACATACAAAATCATAGAAGTGGGTAAAATTTGGTTTTGATGTCAGGGCTTTCACATATTCCTTAAAAGTACTACCCCCAATTAGCTGATGAATAAAAGATGTAAGGACACCTTTCCACCACCCCACAGTCAGCAAGGGAGCTATGGCTGCACCACAAAGGATCTGCACTTAACATACAACACAGGGGCAGTTTTGGAAAATTTTACTGTGCCAAGTTCTTCCGGTTGAGGTCTGAGCCTTTTGCATGTCCTGCAAAGAGGGAACAACAAGGCCTTGAACCAAACGACCTGCTAGGGCAGAGAGCAGCTGAAGGACGTGGTGACAGAAGCCCCTTTGCACCGAAGCAGCCCAAGCTGGAGCGTGCTGCTCCTCCCCAGCTGGGGCTCCCTCAGCTTTCCCCAGGAACCGCACTTCCCTTGTTTGGTCTCCTCTACCTATTTGTTTATTTTTCTTTTTTTTTTTTTTTTTCTTTTTAATTTGCCCCTAGGTAAATTTTCTTTTTTCTTTTTAATTTGCCTGCTTTGCTCTCAACACCAGTTTCTGCACTGCTGCCAGTATTATAGGGGAAAACGTCACGTTCGAACAGCCCAGAGCATATTATGTTGCCTAGGGGCAGCAAGAAGACCCCGGTGAAAGAACACGAGCAGAAACACTGCCAGCTCAGAGCCCTGCTCAGCCCGAAGTTTCCTGTGAGGCCTCTTCTTTATCTACTCACATGAGCGCAGGCACCAGCGCTGTCAGAACCGATGTGCAAACAAGACCTGCATTTCACCGTGAGGGGCTCAGGTGCCAACAAGGTAGCCTGTCTGTATATAAACAGTCTTCACAAGAGGTTTAGGGGAAGGATTGCAATGCCCATCTATCTGTTATCACATGTGAGAAGTGCTTTGCAGCAGTCCCGTGTGAAGGGATGCTCAAAGTGCCCAGCTTCAGCCCTTCCCCTCTTTTGCATGTCCGGTGCATTATTTCCTAACTCTGCCCCAGTGTTTGCTTAGCCCCTGCTAACTCCAGCCACGGAGCAGCCGTGTGTCTCAGCAAAGGCATCTGCCCCCGGGCTTTATCTGATGTGGGTCTCCGAGGGCTAACGAGTCATTTTTGTTCATGGAAAGAGCATGTAAGTAATTGCTCTGCTCCAAACAGCTTCAAGGCCATCCCCCAAAACAGGCCCATCCGGTGAACTGCTCTACCTCTTGTTTCGACAGCATGTATGCATTTCTTGATAATGCTGAAGCCGATATTATCCAACTGGGCAGCTGAAAGGGAAGAGAAGAGAGAAGTGATAAACACCGAGCACGGGGACGGCTTCACACTGAGCACAACGCTCGTCCCGCAGTCCTCGCCGGCACTCACAGCAATACCACACCCCTGCTCAGACGAGGCGGGGAGGGAGGAGGAGGAGATAAATGAGGTGTTCAGGGCAGAAAGGCACAAGTACAGTAGCTTGCACCAGGTGTAACCCAGGCAAGCGCAGAATGCTAATCCATCATTTCAGCCTCCACATCCCTCTGAACCAGCACCTCCCACGCCTGCCGAGCGGCAGAGCCCTGGGCTCTGACAGGCATTTATGCCTGCAGTTGGTCAAAATATTAATTTAGGATCAAGGTGAGATAACCCAAAGAGACCTTCGTCTGGAAAGTTGACAGCAGGTTGCTTGGAAAAAATAAGGGAATCGTATATATTATTGATGCAAAAAATCCTTGAAAACGGCACAGGAGGCAGCTTGCTTGGTGAGTCCCAAATAATTCCTATAAATCCTTTCAGCTCTCCACCCAGCTAACCAAGCCACCTACGTGCTGGAGAGATGCCTTCATGTCGAGGATATCTCCATCACCTCACACTGGGGACCACCTGCGTATCTGGGGTACCGGACTGACCTCCCTGGCTTTGCCTGGGGCAGCGGCACAGGGGCCTTCGCTACCTTGGATTTCTTCTTGGGGCTTTTGAGGTGGTTTTGTGCAGATGGAGGTTTTTTCAAGGACAAGGCATAGGACAGGTCAGAGCATTGAAAAGTGGTAACACTGGGTAACAATCAGGTGGAATGGAGAAGCAGGAGATAACTGTAAGCAGCAACCGTGAAGGAAAATGGAGTAAAGAAATCAAAAGAAAGGTGAAAGCACAGAGGTAAAAACATACCATGAAGAGGAGAGAGCTGACGGCATGTGGCGGTGGAAGAGCAATAGGGACTGGGAGATGGGAGTGAAGTTCAGGTCAAACCTCTGTCCGAAACATCTGTGCCCAGTGGGAGGGGACCTGTCCCCCCCAGTGCCTGCACCACACTTGAGGCAGACACTCCTGCCCCCCAGCAATGCAAAAGCCCAGCTAAACAATATTGTCTCACGAACACTATACGTTACATCCCATTTATCCTCACACTATGCAGATTTGCACAGTTCAAGAACAGCCCCTTCTTTTATTAGCACAAATGAAATACTTAGTTGGTGCAAATTAGGATGTCCTGAAGGCAGCTGACTCTGCCTGAGAGTAAGATCTAAACCATTCATGTTAATGGAATGTAAAACTCAATTAACTCATGCCATTGCAGGTTTTCATATGTAATTTCAAGGAATTGCTTACACACGGATCCAAATACCTGCTGGAAGAATTCATCCCTTAGTCAACTTTCCACTACTGCTCGGAAAACCCTGCCTGCAGACAGCTATTTGTTAAGGAAAATTACTTCCTCCCTACATAAAGGTTTGGGAAACCTTTCGCATGGCAGAAGCCCCACAGAGAAGGGTGTGCAGTCACCCCGGGCTCCAGGGCTGGGATGAGCCTCCTGGGCAGAAGACAGGGGAGGCAGGGCACGCAGCCCGCCCACCCTCCTCCTGCCACCTCAAGCAAAACCCTTTGGCCCCGGCTGGACCCAGCAGGCAGCCTGGGCCCAGCCTGGACCCAGCAGGCAGGAGCAGCATCGCCAGGGACTGGGGCAGAGCCACGACCCGCTCGGCTCCCCGGCTGCCACACAGAAGGCGCGGGATTTTCCGAGGCTCGTACAGCGCGGCTGCGTACAGCACAGCTGCCCAGCTGAACTCCGGAAGGTAGAAAAGGCACAGCCTTAGCTTAAAAGCAGATGACTGACTCTGCGTCTGCACAGGCTGGAGGGAAGGCCGTGTTGTGAGAGACACAAAACTGCATTTTACCGAGAGCACAGAGGGAAGGGATCAGAGCCCAGGGCTGGCAGTGTCCTCAAAGCCAGGCACGTGCAATTTTACTCCTTTGTATTCCCCCTGTTCACATCATTTATTTAAACACAGATTCGCTGCTGGTGCATGATAAGCTGCCAGCTCACTGGCTGCCTATGGCTTGCATGGCGCAGTCCCTTACTAATCACTTGTTTTGAGTTCTCTGCTGGTGGCGTTTCTTGTGTGATGAATGGCACAAGAACCTGAAACACTGAAACAGTAAAACAGCTCTATTATATTTTTCTGGGCAAGCACACTCAAGTGCTGAGCCAACATAAGCACACAAGTTGCAGGATGTCTGTGCCATAGGATGTGTGAATATCCAGGAGCTCCAGGGCCTTTTGCTTGGCACCCCGAGGGCTCTCCAGCACGGCTCCCACCCCGTCTCCAAGCACAGATGCAGCAGAAAATCAATGTGCCATCAGTCAGTGGGGCACAGCCTACTGTACCCCTGGCCACGGATAAACACAAGCACGAGTGTACCTGAGAAGCAAGAAACCACGGTGCAGAAACCCTTTTGTACAGGCAAACCCAGGTCAGCAAGCCTTATGAGCCTTGGCTTAGTACTGGCCAGAACCCTGATCTTTCAGCATCCCTGCACGGTGCTGTCCTGGATCACCATCCCAGGCTCTCTGCCACGCACTTTTAAGTGCCAACCCATCCCCTAAAAGCAGCAGTTTTCCCCTCAGTCCCTCGTGGGTTTGCATTTGAGCAGGAGACACCGACAAAGGTGCGGCTTTCCCCTGCAGAGCCCACCACTCCAGAGCTGAGCGGGAGGCTCGGCCCACACCTTTCTGCAAGGGTAAGAAATCAAGCAGCCCTTCCGGATGGAAGTGACCAAGCATAATCCTCCTAAGTAAATGAATAAGCTCTTCCACTCATTGCCGAGCTCTGGATCAGGAAAGGTCGGGGATTTATTTGCAGTAGTCCTATCCAGAAATAATATCTGATTAAATAGCCAAAGTGCCTTTATTCATCCTTAAATTTAACTTTTAATGAGCATTGTAAAAGCTTGATTTCCCCTCTCACAGAAGCAGCTTCTCTTTATCTCATTCATTTACCCAATGAGTCAGTTCAGCACCAGCACAGATCAAAGTCAGATTTGTATCTACTGCTGCTCGGATCTTACACTCGCTTCATTCGCCCCAGCAGCACAGAGATCCACAGCCCTGTGCTCTGGCCCAGCAGCTTAGACCCCGCTTAGCTTCTGTCTGATCCTGGCTGCAGGGGAGGAGGAGGGGAGGAAGGACGGGGCATGCGATGGGCTTTCAGGGCTGGGGAGAGCAGCGCTGTATCAGCGTGCCCGTGGGAAACGCGGGCTCTGCGGTGCCAGACAGAGTCTGGCCTGTTACAGCCCCATCCTCGTCCCCGCTCTCCTCCATGTCCTGACAGCAGGACTAGAGTGGAGGGGCGGCTCAGCAAGATTAACAAGAAAAAAATAAAGAAAAAAACCTGCTCTATCAAAAACCCCACCAACCCCAGCCGTCAGCCAGCTGACCTCAACAAGAGCTGCTGCTGCAGCCAGGCAGAGGCAGGAACGCGTGTATGGGAGGGACAGGGCCCATGGCCCGCGCTCAGATGGATTTAAATCATCGTGGAGCTGCCTCCTGCTATCAGCTGGGATCAGGAAACGAGAGGGAAGGCAACAGGGAAGAGCAAACGCTGGGGCTGCCACAGAAAAGCATGGCCAACGTGCTTCTCCGCTCTTCACAACAGGCATCCCTAATCCCCATCCCAGATGTCTGAAACGGCCTCTCAGTCATAACAGGAGTGGATTGACAAGCTCTTTTATTATCAGAGGCAGTATTTTCCTCTGTTCATGCATTCAAACCTGTTGCAGGGGCAAAGCCTCCAGCCCTGCCTCCTGCTATTCCCCCTCCCTTGAGGCTCTCATTCCCCAGGGGTGAGATGTGAAACACAGCTCCAGGCCAAGCTGCACGCCCCAGGCTCTGCATACAAGAGCAGCATTTCACCGCACAACCGAGATGCAGTATTCATACTGTAATCTAGCAGAGAAATATTTTACAGCAGCAAAGGTGATACACATCGCTTGTATTACAGCTGTTACACACACACACTTATCTGACCTTCCTGTAGCATCATATTTCTAGTGTTACTGAGCTGGTCTCATCCTGTTCTATTTTTGCCTAGCAGATTATTTCTATTTAATCCATTAATTGCTTTACTTTACGCTGATATGGCATATCAGAGCATTGGTAAGGGGGTAAGGCGACAGAATCAGCTCTGTTCAGCCTCAGGCAACCTTGCTGACTCCAGCTGTGTGCACGTCGGTCATGGCAATGCAAGGTCAAAGCAAGTTCTTCTGCATAACCCACCACACGCTTCTGTGCCGTGCAGTGCAGTGCCACGACGATTACTGTTAGGAATTCTTTCCAAGACTTTATAGAATTATGAGCCACAGAGGAAAGGAGAAACCAAGAGGCAGAGACCAGAGAGAAATGAGTTTTTAAGTCTTACTTCAAGTCTCGAACTATCAGTGAGCTGCCAAGACTGGGAAATGAAGATTGCTGGGGACAGCCAGGCCACCCAGACAACCGCACCAGCAGACAGGGCAGTGAAGGGACTCAAGCTCTGTGAAGAGCTTATGAAAATAAAGACAGCCTTCCATGCAGTCCTGAGCTAACAGAACCACACGGATATGGAAAAAGAAGAGGGGAATGGTTGGGAGGGGAAGGGAAAGAAGTTCTTCTGTGCTTTTTCATGCAGTAAGCACAAACGGCCGAGAGGATGTTTCCACAGAGCAGGGCAAGTCCTCCTGGTCTGCAAACCAGTACATGAAAATTCATCTGGCCCTCACAGTTCACGGACACCCGCTCACCCCCACCGCTCGGCACTGCTTCCTCCCAGCTCCCAGAGAAGATTAAGATAAATCACCCTGTAGGCCTATGGCCATCTGGCCATACAGCAGGAGGTAAAACCCAAAAGCTCTGTAAAATTAGAGAGTGGCCAAAAAGAAGACCTCAGTATAGCACTGCAAGTCTCAGACTAACCTAAGCGTGGGCAGGAAGCAGAGGTATATAAGGTTTTCAGGGTCAGGAGCTGCACCCCGACTCCACTTAATCACTGCACTCTTTTTGAGTCCTTACAGGAAGCTCCTGTATGCAGGGCTGCATGGCAAAAAGCCAGCCTCCGAATCAGTTTGGAGTGTAGCTGATGAGGCAAGCAGTTCACTACAGACATGGTTTTAATGAGGGCTAAAGCAGAGTCAGATGTCTGAACATACCAGCGGCAGCCCCGGTCGGAGGCGTATGTGAAAATAATTGCCACCAGACGGTTCAGGAGCAGTGCTCCGTACGCCGCCTTCAGCCACGGGTCCCAGCGCACTACCTAACGCCACGGGAGGAGAGTCTACAGAGCAGAGAGGGAGGGTTGTGCTCAATTTGAAGACGGGCCATCAAAATGGAAGAGGTACGAAAAGATAAGAAACTTTGCCAAAGCCTCCTCAGCCCATTAAACCTCAGCTTCGCACTCTGAAGACGCGCAGGGAGAAACTCGACCAGTCTCGCTACGCTTTGCCAAACGCTGAGCTGCTTCGGAGCGGCACCGACGCGGGAGGCAAACATGGGAGCTGCCCCCAGACTGGGGATAAAAGCGGCTTTTTCCTCAAAGCCAGCGGCCTCCAGCACACCCCACACGGGCATCCAGCTCCGACACATGAATCCCTCTCGGACTAAGCCCAGGAAAATCAGTTCTTTGTATGGCAGCAGCGGCCGCAGCACTGGCCTGGTCCTGTCCCCACCTCTGCTAACGCAGGCCCTCGATGAGGCTGTGCACAGCTAACCACGGGCAGAAGCCGGGGCTGCGGGGGCAGAAGGAGCCTGGCTGGGAGCAGCCCGGGGGGAGCACCAACCCACCCAGACAGCCCTTACCTAAGGAAACCCAAGAGAGGCATTTCAGACCCTGATCCGAGACCCCTTGCAAGCTTGGCCACCAAAGACCGGGATTAGACAGTACAAATAACCCTGGGAAAGTCACAAGCACGCTTGACTCAAGCTCTCACCATGTCTAAAAGAGCTGCCGTGGCTTTGCAGGATGACTCCAGCCTAAGTCACAACCCCGGGAGGATTTCTGGCTGACAGCACGTAAGATGGGAAGGTCAGGGTTTGACAAGCACTTCTTTCAGAAGCGGTAATTACTTCACCAATCCTTCCTCCCACCCCCACCCCTAATGTTTTCCCTGCTTTTGCAACACCCCTCAACAAAGTTTAGAAAACTTTATTTTAACACGTTTCTTGAGCCAAATCACCACGTACTGTCCTGGCAGAGCCAGAGGTTGTGTGCAGGGAACACGCAGATCAGTGACAGTTCATGGCCAGGGTAGGACAGAGTTGAGCGAGTCCTGTTCTCTGTGCCTCAAAAAACTCATTTTGCCCCTCTGTGAAATGGAGAAAAGATGGGAGCTGTTCTACGCAGACTCCATACCCGGCTGGGGCTTTCGCCATACGAGCGCAAGGCACAGCATTTAACTCTGCAAGGATCATCTGGGTCACACAAAGCCCAGAGGAATACGTACGGGATGAGATGGATGCGCAGCTGACGACATGGAGGACCAACAGGAAAGGGAGAACCCACGTCGGAGAGAGCAGAGAGGAGGAAGAGACTGTTCTGTGCAAAGGCTGAAAATGGGTGCGAGGAACATTATCTGCAAATTATACCTATTATCGTGAGAAAAATGCTTCTACTCAAGATGAAAATGCCCTCAAGCGGCTTAAAAATGAACTATTTACTAACTGTCAAACCGGGCTGGGCTCCGCGTGACCGATGACTTTGGGGGAAGGAGGGAAAGGATCAGAGTTTTGAGTATTGTGGTTGTGGCAATTCAAACCTACTGCGAAATGGCTCAATTAAGGGTTTTGAAACACAGGACATAAGAGCCAGGACCAGGTGCAACCACTCCTCTAGGAAGAAAAACAAGTGCTTTCTTGATTCAAGTCTTTGATTGCCCAAAATACAATAAAAACAGCTTTTTTTTTTTTTTAGGGGCTCTTGTTGACAATCCTGATTAGGTGGGACCTCCCTAGTCTTTCTATTTTTGCTCCAATTCCCTTCTGGAAAAGGCACATTCATCCTCCAGATTCTGTTTCAGAAAGGAGAGCTGGTTGGTCCAAGATGCCACCTATACCCATTGGCTGCAAAAAGCAAAAGTAGCCAGTCCAGGGGCACACCAGCACCCCCTGCCCCAGTGCTACGGCCCGGGGACACCAGGGTGTGGGCAGGCAGGAGGGGACGCATCCTGACATGCCAAGGGAACAGCTCAGCACCGCTCTCCGTGACCTCAGGTCCCCCCATCAAGTTTCTGTGCCTGTTCCCTGCTGGGTGCCGGACCCGGCTCCTCCCTGGGGCCACCCTGCGGTCCCCACGCCGAGCCCCGTTGCAGAGCACAGCCTGGTGTCCCCAGCACTGGCAGCTCAGCCTCTCCTGCTGACCCACCACAGCCTCCACACCACACAGCCCAGCCACCTCCTCAGGGGGCTGGCTTGAAAGGAAATACTTACTGCCTTCACTTTGGTTGTCCTTGTTCGAGTTGTAGACCTGGAAAACACAAGAAGAAAGTCTTATGAAGACCCTGGCCCCACCTGGGAAGGGACTGCTGACACGTTTGGTGTCACCCTGACTGGTGAGGGCTGTTGGGAGGACCTGCCTCGACCTCCCCCAGCAGGGTGGTCCCCAGAGACCACCACAGCATTCTGCATTCAAAATGTCAGGTCGCCACGGCTTTAGAGTTGTATTAAAATAACAACTAGGGCAGTTCTTAAAACAAGTGAATGCAAAGGGGGATGGACTAGGTAAAAACAGAAGCTAAAGGGGCTTTTAAACAAAACGAAGGTGGGCATTCCTCTCCTCCAAGCTTTTCTCAAAGGCACACATAAAGGACAAACTTAGAGCAAAGCAGACAATTCCCTTTACATCTTACGGGCATTACAATAACATCTGGTAGGTGTAACTCCTACGAGGAGTAGGAAGCCACCCTTAAGCACAAGTACTTACAGACTGAATGAACAAGTCAGGCAAAGAGTAAGAGAGGAAAAGAAATGTCATTAATTTAGAGAGGACCTGAAATGCAGAAGGATGAGACATTGTACCCAACAGTGCCTGTGACAGAGCCACCCTCTGAGTCAACGCTGGGCCTTCACCCCAAGACTCTCCTGTCTTCAAACACTGGTGCTCTTCCTCCTGTCCCAATCACTGCTACAGCCTGGCTACTTTAGATTAAAGTAATGTTTCAATGGGTACAATTAAAAAGGGGAAAAACAATAGCAGAAGGTTTTAATCACAGTTTGAGGATGATTTAAAAGCCTAGCATAATGAAAACCACAGCTGTGAGAAGATCAGCCTGCAGACAGGTTGTATTTCTCTAGCTCATCAGAGTAAAATGTTTTAAAATCATCCTTCATCAACCCAGGGGCCCAACAGAAACACACACACACACACCAGCACTCCATCAGCATCACAAGCTGGAGTTGAGCGTGGCAGCATCCATTAAAACAGGAAGAAAGGCCTGTGTAGGCTGTTAAACAAAGCCAGCAGCGCGCACACCCTTCCTCTGCTGGGAACAAAGCTGGGAGCCCCTTTCCACTGGGAGCGAAGCACGGGGAACTGATTTAATCACATGCTACCTCCAGAAATAGCAAGCGGGGAAGGAAAGTTTCCAAAGGCGATGTTGATAGCAACACACAAGGCAGCAACAGCCAACACATCCGAGGGGAGAGGGGAGGAGCAGAGGCTCTGATCTGCGATCAGGCCGGCAAGAGTTTCTCAACCTTTCCCTGCAGGCTCCCAATTACTGATATTCACACCAAGGCCAGAGATTCAGAAGCTGCCTGTGAGTGTGAGGCTCTGTGTGCTTCCAGCGGGGTCCCTGCTGGTGGGGTTTTTTTGGTTTATAGCTGACACTATAACATCCTCAAAGGATCAGTGCCAGCAGCAACCGGGCACACACACTACCGACCACCACGGACCTCGCCACCGCGCTCACCCGGGGTGCCCCAACACCAGCCCCACTGCCCACACCAAAAAAAATAGCCCACAAAACAGCTGTGTGTCACCTAACACTTCTGCAAGAGCACCATTAAGCCACTTAAACAGATGCCTGCCTTGAAGGTCACCCGACCAGAGGTTATTCCCGTGCTCCCCTGCCCGCGGGAGCCACCGCAGCCGCAGCTCCACTGACACCTCCGTGGTGGCAGAGGAAGCGAGCAGCTCTTGCCCCACATGCCAGTATCAAAGAACTAAATGAACCTCTTCATTTGAGTCCTGTGGGTTTGTCTTTAACGGGGAGCTGCCCCGATGCCAGCCCCGGCACGGCCACAGCCAGCCGTGCTGGCATCAGCTCCGCCACCCCGGACACCTTCAGGGAAGGGCCAATCTGATGGCACAGCTCAAAACTGGCAGTTTGGGCAGAGACTGACCCCCTCAACACTAATTCTCACTCTTCCTGGGATACTTCCCAAGGCACACGCTCCCTCTCCCCCTCCCAGGCCTAGCTATGCAACGCAAGACAAAGTAGAGATTTTTGTTTTGCAGGAGAAAATCTATCATCCCACATCTGGAAACTGGGGGATGATTCAGCAGCAAAACCAGCTGTTGTCAGCAAGTGAGTTTTCCTCCAGGAACAGTGTTTATATCAAGAAAATAAAATAAGTGAAAAGAAGGAAGGAAACCAACAGTGGGCTCCTCTGCCAGTGGTGCTGTCTAGCAGCCCCGGCCATGAAGTCAACTTTCCCTGAAGAAGATTTTCTCTCCAACTTCAGTATCAGCGTTGAGGACTCGTTGAAGGGACCAGGGGGACAGCTTGAGGTAACTCTTACCCAAAGGTTTTCAGATGCACGGCCCTTCCTCGGGACCCCACACAGACTTCAGGCCCTGCGCTCTGCCCAGACACCAGCTCCTGGGCTTGGGACACCAAAATATTTTCCAATTCTTCTGGGTGAACCCAGCTGCCAGCCACTCGCCCTGGCACCCGACCCACGTCCTGGCACAGCTTCGCTCTCTGCTGTCCTTCTCCCAGAGGTTCCCTCTGCTGCCCAGGCCCAAAGGACCAGTCATGCAGCTCAAGTTATGGTGCACAGCACATCAGCAACAGGGAAAAATGTGTCTGCCTGCATATTCGCTCTTCCAGTTTTGTTACATGAAACAATAGAGGTTGTTAATCATCAGAGGCTGTTCTTTAAAAAAGGGAAAAGGACAGACAAGGAAGCTCAATATGCTTATGCCGTTAATTGCAAAGTATGCACACAGTGAAAGGAAATTTCATGCAGAGGTCAACTATGCAACCATAAAACAAGGAGATACTGTCATCCTACATCCATCTTATTAAGGACAAACCTTTTATCCATTGTCAGTGTGTTAATCCATTAACACCAGTCTACAAGATCAGGGTTTTAACCAAGCCCCAATTCTGTAATATCATTTCCTTTTCCAAGAAAAACATTACTTTCAAAAAGAAATATTTCTCCTATACCGCCTCAAGCCTTTTGAAGAGAGAGATTTTTTAGGATAAGAGAAAGTTTCTAAGTTTGAAGAAAGTTCTGCTGTGTGAGAGGTCCAAGAGTGAAGCTCCTCCAGTGCCCCAAGGGCCGTCATCTGCCCCGCTGTCAGAAACGTGCCCTCAGTGCTGCCAGGCAGGGCTGGCCCAGCCCACAGGGACCCCTCGGGGTCTTGGCACAGCAAAGGTCACTCCTGCCCAGCTTGGCTTTACCAATATTAATATTCCTCTCTTTCCAAAACAGCTCTGATAATATGCAAGGGTTAAAGCACATGGAAGCATTTTAAGATTAAGCCTCATATGCAAGTCAGTCAGCTGATGGACCTACCTACCTCCCTGCGAAAGGGTGCTGAATTTCAAAGAGGTTCTTACTATTCATTACACCCAAGTCTCCATTGATTACTGACAAAAATAAAGTTACAGATTGTTCAGACAGGAGCATGTTTCCCCTGCACCATCCTCCCTGTAACTCCACCACACTGTTACACTGTCAATTCACCTTTACAGCACCACAGAAAATGATAAATCCAATCACTTCTGCCAAGGGACGGAGGCAACGGAGGCCCTGTGCCAACGGCGCGGCCCATGCACAGCATGCCCTCTGAGCCACTGGTGAACACCAATTCAGTCCAGAACAGAAAAACTCTGCGTACAGAAAAATTCAGCACGAGTGGGGAGACCTCCAGGAACCCCCATAGCTATTGGGTCGCTGGGTCTGTGTTCGGACAACAAAGACCTTCGAAGCTCTCCGTACAGCACTGCTCTTCTAAACCCTCTTTCAAACAACTGCCAAGTCCTAGGTTTGAAGAGTGAGGCAGATACATCTTTCCCCCACCCCTCCAAAAATCCGTTCTTTTGCATTTCTGTGCACAATTCTGACTGTGCAGGCTGCCTCACCACACCGGTGAGCGCCGGGTGCCGGCTCAACATGAGATGCATTGCTGGGGCACGGGGCTCTGACTCCTGTGCCAGCCTAAGAGCACAGGGGTAACACGGCTACACCTCGCAGGGGAACAGCATTTAACAGGCAGCACACAAGAGGTTTGCTGAGAACAGGCAGCTCTGCAAACGTGCACATCACCCAGGATAGAGCCAGATGATAAAACACTGTGAAATGCGTGTATTTGTGTATGTACATGCACCATCTTCCTGTTGTTAACACACTCTGGAGAAAACAGACCTAAACCCAGAAGGGTTCTCATGAAGCAAAAAGCTTCTTTCGCTTTTCAGTATTAGTCACTGACAAAGGGTAGGAAATTTGAGAGAAGAAAGCATTTGCCGAGAGGTGAAGGGCTCGTGTCCCACGTACCGCGTGTGGGAACAGGCTCAGTTATAAGACTCACAAAACCGGGTCTAGTGACTAACTTGGAGACAAATCCCTACCCTGCAGCACCGCAGGCGTTTTAACATCACGCTCTCATTAATTATTCCCATTTGATTGTGTCTTCAGAGCCAAAATATCTTTACTAGGAAGTTTCAGAAGTGATATGTTTAGAAAAGAAATATATTAACCTAGCACAAAATTTGCAGACCTTGACGCCCTGAATTTAGTTTTCTAAATTCAGACTGTAGGTGGGCAAATATCCTGAACAAAACCAGACCGCAGCTTTTTTAGTGGCAGCCACTACTGCTTAATTTCTGCAGAATCACTGCTATTTGACAGTTTAAAACAAGGCCTTTGTGACCTATCATTAAAAAATTCTGAGATACATCTGTAAGTAATCCAGAAGCATACATTTTCTAAGAGCACAATAGAAATTGCAATTCGCTATTATTTTGAAATTTTCCGCCAAAGTTAAAATCCTCCCCTCTCCCCCTCCCTGAACACTTGCACTATGCTCAATTATTAACTCAGTATTTAAGATAATTGATCAAAGAACAAGTTAATTCTTCCCGGTGATGCACTTCACCAAATATACACTATGTTTTGCAGAGGAAACGGTTTTATAGGGATGATTAAGAGGCCGGCGATGTTCCAGGGTGCGCTGGCTAGAACAGACAGCCCAGCAAACAACGCCGAGCCGCCCTGCTGCACCGGTGCCGGGGG